ATATATACTTCCTGATTGTCTCACTAATACGACAGGCGCGTGCAGAATGAATCTACAACTGGCAGCGTGACGAGTGAGCGTGTGCGAACAGTGTTGACAGTGGAAGTCACGGATGTGTTTTTTGACACCCAAGCCTTCACACTGCGAATCAATGGTAAAAACACAGAAGAAAATCCACATGTAAAGGTACGTTTTTCTAACTGACGTGTATTGAGTTCCCGCGCCAGGGCATATTGCAATATTTTCAGCATGATCTTAAGGATTCGTAGGTTTGCAGCGGCTTTGTATACCAGTTCAGGATATACTGTCTAATGTATATCCTCATACGCCGCATGCTGCACAACATGCAGATGGGAGCGTTCCATACGATCGATCTCGAACTCAACCGTAAGTTCACCCTGTACAAGCAAGAATGGGACTCTGTGTCTCTCGAGCGAGTAAAAGAGTCGTGTGACATATCATCCAAAGCGGATGTGGGTGCGGTTGTACTGCAAGAAGGGCTGGCGTATGTGTGCTTGATCAGCTCGTCGATGACGGTGATTAGGACTAAGGTGGATGTATCAATCCCCCGCAAGCGCCGAGGTGGTATGTGAACGTGTTTCAAGTTAGATGTGAAACCGAAAGGGGTATATGTATTGTGTATGCATTGTTCTGTATGGTTACGCTCTTCCCTTTGGTTTCGCTTCGTTAAACTGAATAGTCGGGTCTATATTCTCAGACATTCTGATGTTTCAGTGAGAGAGCTTTGCACTCCTGATGTGACAATGAGAGCGCATTGCACTCGGTTTGTATGAGGAGGCATGTTTTCTATGATGTCAAAAAAGTGATATTATATTTGATTCAATGTGGGATCGAAGCAAGTGGGATGTTCATGTAACACGTACTGACTGTTATATGACTTCGTCACGCGCGAAACAATTTTAGTGTCACTTGTGCTTTGCTGCGGATTGAAATTGTCCATTTGCTTACGGTGAGAGGCATCCAGATATTTCTTGTCATATTGGTGCGGCGATAAATTCTAATTATGACGAAATTAGCAATATACACACACGTATACACATGGTACGCACAAGCATTTGTAGTATTGTACAGTGTCGATAGAAACCCTATATTCAGCACCTCGTGCCGATATTCGATACTGTGTTATATTTGTCTTTTGGCCTATGCGTGGTAGTTTGGCATTGATGTAATAATGATAAAATTTGATTGTATACCGTTAGTGCTGCTAGTAAGACCATCGTAGACGATTGGGACTGTTATTATATTTGTTGTCCAGGAACAGTCTCCATGTGTATGATGTGTACAAATTGCATGTGCATGTCTTTACACAGTACACGACCCTCTTGCGATTGGTCCCTTTTACATTGGTCATCACTCGGTCGCAAAATTGAAGACTATTATGTACATACACACACATAGAGCTTTACATATATGTTCGCATCAATTCAAACACTGGAGCAAAGCTTACAGAAATGTAACATTGTATATTCATAATTGGAATTTGCCGAAAGCAATTGTATATTTATATATATATATATATATATATATATATATATATATATATTATTATTATTATTATTATTATTATTATTATATATATATATAGTATATATATATA